TACACAGATACCCGCTTTGTCATGTAAAGCAGCAGATTTACTGATAATCGCACTGACTCGTGCGCCTGGCAGTGTGTCTTGCATCTTCTGTGTAAGTACTGTGGGTTTGGATTAACTTTAATCCGGAATTAACTTTTATGACGCATACAGAAGACTCCTTTAGTTGAATATGGAAAATGGAACATGACGTCACCTTGTTTTGTTTGTCTCCATTGTTGACATTAAACTGAGCAGAATAACTAGCTGGTACAGAATTTTGAGTTAAAATGTATAATGGCAAGAGTGTTTTATGAGGACACAAACCATCTCATAAAAGGAGACTGAATAGTTTGTCAGTGTTTCATTTTAACCCTGTATTGTGAAATAATGATAATAATGATGATGATAATATATACACAAAAATGGCAAAAGCATTTTGCTCCTTTATATATACATCTTGAGTACGGTTGAGAATTTGTTTATGATTATAAGTCAAATAATTTTGTAATATTCCAAGTCCCATAAAATCCCAGAAAATACGCAAAAAAAATATTATTACAAGTTTCTATAACCTATTTTCTCATGCTTAAAAAACTCCAATGAGCCAATTTATGCTTAGAACGAGACAAAATTGACTCTCCTGCATTGTAAGGAAGTCAGTGCTATAACATTAACTTCATGAGTAGGCAGACGTAAAGAATTAAAACTATGGTCGTTGGGAAAATTTGTTCTGACGAAAACTTTAAAATAGATAAATATTAAATCGTTTGCGTAGGTAAGGTTGTATATATACAGCACTGACAGATAGAGAGAGAAAGAGAAAAAAACGTGTGTAGAGAAATGGAGAGATAAGTATAAATATAGATATAGATATAAGGTATATAAATAGAGAGATAAAATGTGTATATAGAAATAGAGAGAGAATTATAGATATAGATAGATACATATATAGAGAGAGTAAGTCTGTTGGGATTTTTTTTTTTTTTTGTGATAGACATATGTATCTTAGAGATATTTCTTACTTTTGTTTTTATCCTTTTTTCTTTATATTCTGATTCGCGTGTTGTCTATTTTCATTTTTCACTTTATGTAGAATATTTCAAGTATTTTCTCGTTCTTTCTCATCTATCCTTTTTTCTAATTATATATTTTCTTTTCATTTATATTTCATATTACTTGTTTTAGGATAAAATCAAAATCTTTTTTTCATTAGAATATCTTTATTCGATGGTCAACAAGTAATAATTGTGGTATAGAAACGGTATGATAACTACCCCAAGATTGAATAAAAAATATATTCAATCTGAGGCAATAAAAAAAAAATGATTTTTTTTTTGTAAGATTTTTTTTTGTAGTTTTTTGTTTAAACCTATTGGATCAAAACCTTATACATATAGAAAATGGACTCTCCCTCGCGAGAACAGAAAACGGGAATCGGGAATCACTGAGTTAACGGAGATGGTGTATCAGGTTAACAATCCACAAACTCGCCCTTAAACTATCCTATCGTAAAGCTCATTCTTCCCTAACAACTAGACTAGAGCTGCCACCGCGCGCTAGACTTAATTGATGTCGCGAGTTTGTTTTTCCTTCTTTAGAATTTTGTGATCTAGAAATTTTGTTTTTGTTTTTGTTTTTTCTTTGTTGATTTTGCGTCATGTTTTTTTGTCAAATTTCTATGTAAACTTGTGCGGAACATTTTTTTTTATTATTCTGTAAGACGTAGATATATCAGTCAGTTGTGAAAGTCAGTAAACACTTATTAGCAACAATCAATCTATTACCATTATGCAAATCACAAATAAAAACACAGACCAGTATTGTAAAAAGGGGTGGGTAGAAGGGGAGAAGGGGGGGTACCTAAAACAAAAACAAAAACTCCAGAAACAAAAGAACAAAAACATCCTAACAAAAAAAAAAAAAAAAACAAAAAAAAATAGGCTCTAAAAACAAGGAAAGGAATCGACCAAAATCGCGGCCCAAAAAAAAACGGCTCTTGGGTTGCAAAAGGGTTAAGGGGGGGGAAGGGAGGGGGGGGGAGTGACCACAACACCCTCTTCACCAGTAAGGGGGGCGTGGCCGAAGGGAGGGGGGGCGAGGGAAATGGGTGGAGCAAAGGAACCTACAGGGTAAGTAATTTTTTTTTTATCATTATATATGTATATATTCTTGTATATATGTTCTTTTTATTTCTGATTCGCGTTGCAATTAACGGAATGTGTTTCTTTGAAGTTTTAAAGGTGGTCTATGTGCAGTTAAGAAATAAAAGGGTAAAAAAAATGCTTTAAATAAAGACACAAACACTGTGTCAGATGAAATGTAATGTTATTTTCCTCTTAATTCTTCTTTTTTTTTTGGGGGGGGAGGGGGGAAGGGGGAGGTTAAACTGGATAACTGATCTGAAAAAAAATCATGAAACGAAGAATAAGTACATAGGTAATTTACATCAATTCCCTCTCATAATCTAAATAACCACAAGTTACATTTGTGCATTTTTTTCGATAAACCGAGAGGAAATATACTGGACAATAATCACCTTGGCAACAATAAAAAAATGTGAATGCTAATGGCAAAAACAAATAAAAAAAAAGTCGGTAAATAAAAAATATGACACTATCCGTAGGTGGCTCTCTCGTAATATATTTCTTACTTCGCTTTTCTTTAACTTTCTATTGATATATCTACATTTTGTTGATGTTGTTGTTGTTTCATTCTATTTGTTGTTGTTATGAATTGTTTTGATAAATTTATTCGATATCTCTCATACCCTCCCTTTCGTCTCTCTCTCTCTCTCTCTCTCTCTCTCTCTCTCTCTCTCTCTCTCTCTCTCTCTCTCTCTCTCTCTCTCTCTCTCTCTCTCTCTCTCTCATACACCTATTTATCATCATCTTTTGTTCAGTCATCTGAATTGTTATATATTTTTTCTAAACATGAATTCTTTCAACGCATTTAGAATAAGTAAAATTTCTAGATCATTCATTTTTTATACTCGCGAACAGTATCGTGTATTAATCTGGTTTTGCTAAATATATTAGTCATATATCGATTTATACAGGCATTATGGAGCATAAATATACATAAAAACTCATAATATACACAATTTCTGGTTGGTGAAGTAACAAAAAAATAACATCCAGGCAGGACAGGGAATCAAATGGTACAATCAACAGTCGACCCGCGTGAACCCGATGCTCAGTTGTTATTTATTCACTCAATTCTCTTACACATGTCGCACTTTCCAAACGTTTATAGTGATTGCTGGGAATATCATCCAATCGTTCCTTTGCAAATTAGCATTACGTCTTGACGATATTCCTAAAGGCACCAGTAGTGACAACATATACATATATATACAGACATACATATGTATATAAATATATGTATATATATGTATATATGTATATATATATGTATATATATATATATATATATATATATATATATATATATATATATATATATATATATATATATATATATATATATATATATATGGTGTCAATTTATTGCTACAACAAGAACACAAAATTGCCTAACATAATGTGTGATCAACACACTGGTAGAGAACACTTCAACTATGGCAGTAAGATAATAATAATAATAAAAAAACGGCACACATAGGAATCATAGAGAGATAAAAATCCAAGAGTTCACACGGGGGGAATTGAACAAATATATTATATAATAACGGTCGATTATCATGAACATCACGAACGAACGACCCAGCATATGACAGGGAGAGAACATCAACAGCACATGGAACAAAGTTGAACACCGGGGCCAGCGTAGGTCGACGGCAATCTGGAACGACCAACCAGTTGTTTTCTATCACAAACTTGGCAGATCTATTGCTGTAAATAATTACTGTAATTTGTCAGTTTGTGTCGAGGCCGAATAATCTTAACCTTTATGGGAACACATCACTACGTTACAATATTATTATTATTATTATTATTGTTTTTTTTAATTCCTTTTTGTTTATACCATTCTGTCTTGTTTTATTTTTTGCCTCGTATCAGAAATGGAAAGGAAGTAAAATACGTGGATTAATGATATGTCTACATAAAGGGTCAAAATAACTGACCATGGCACAACATTTGTACCTGAGAAGTTATTATACGAAGTCATTTTTTTATTTTTTTTATACAAAATTACGGCCCAGAATATCACCCAGTTCTCGCATCTCTGCAATTATTCCAGAATACTGCAGGTTAACCAATGACAAAAATGTAATAATTTTAAGCCTCAAAGTTCATGTGATAATGCCAATAGATTTAAAGCTTTGAATATGCATACAGGGAAAAAATATATATAAATATGTGTGTTTCTGTTTACATTCCTTAGATTTCTGTTAAATTTTCCCAAAGAAGGGTTCATTTCGGACCTTATTTTCTTTTTCTTCAAGAGCATTAGTTGTTTATTCGCTTCTCCAGATGAGGTTATGAAAGACACAAACACTTAACGAACGTGATGTTACGTTGTCACCACTTGAGTATCTCCAGAGTGTAAGGCGTCCACCGCTTTCTTTTGAGTAGTCACCCCTTGAAAAGCACATTTCTCTCGTTGAATGCATGACAGAAAATTTAGTTTGATGGGTAAACTACAGAAGACTGGAAGAGAAACTTAAATGTCCTTGTTGGTATTTTGTTTGTTTTCAGACTCTTGTTGCATATATAACAATATTGAAGACACTGTTTAACCGATTTCACAGAGTAATATTTGATGATTTTCTTCAACAGACGGCAAATTACTAGTTGTTTTTGCTTGTTTTTTTCAAGACTGTAGTAAGGTCTTCAAGCAGTCGATGACTCTCTTCTTCACAAGATATCGAATCTCTCTCTTCCAGTTACTCAGTAATAACAGAAGATTTATTTTCTTATCCGAAACGGTTTTTTTCTGAGAAATACCCAAGGGCAGACTTGATGGGGGAGGATGGAAGTTGTTGAAAGGGGGAACATCACTTTAGGGATAGAAAAGGCATGGGAATGAAGGGAGGAAGAGGAGAAATACGTAATGAGAGAGAGAGAGAGAGAGAGAGAGAGAGAGAGAGAGAGAGAGAGAGAGAGAGAGAGAGAGAGAGAGAGAGAGAGAGAGAGAGAGAGAGAGAGAGAGACGCAGTTGTGTTTGTCTGACGAAGGAGAGATCCTAGTGAGTTAGGGAGGGGGAGGAGGGAGGGGACGGAAGGAGGGGCAAAAAGTGTCACGAGATAAACACTCGTCGGTGCTCTTGGCTGAGCGTGGGGGGGGGGGGGAGACTTGACACTTATCGGTGATATTAAACTTGTATGTACAGAGTAACTATGTCAAACTATTCTTTTTATACATGGAAGTCCTCATCTCCTCATCAAGGTGTGAGGTTCCCGTTCACAGAACAACCTCTTTGGACCACGAAAAAAGGACATATTATTTTCCCCGAAAGAAGGAGTGATGAGAAGGTGTGTGTGAGGGGAAAAATGCGAAAAAAGAGGGAAGAAGGAAAGACATTCCATTCAGGGTAAAATGCATTATATAGAAAACGAATGGATGTTAGAGGGAAAATAAGGGAAAAAGGGAGAGAGATAGGAGAATAATTAATTCATTATTTTCCCTCTTGGTATAACTTAAAAGTTCATCCCGATTCACTCTTGGTGGCGAGCGTATAAAGAGGGAAGATGAAAGGGGAAGGAGGGAGGAGGAGGAGGAGGAGGAGGAGGAAGGGGGAGGGGGGGAGATAAAAGGGGCCACGCGTCACCCGTTCACGAGGGAGGAAATCAGACCTGAAGCTTTCAGATTTCAGGGGAGAGATTTCATTGCTTTTCTCATCATGCTTCGGTGTTCACGTCTGGGTCGGCGGAGAGAGGGCGAGCAGCCTGTGCTCTCTGGCTAATGAGTAGAGGATCTTGTACTTTGTGCGTCACAACCTGGGGTCGAGAGGAGGAGGGGGAGAAGGAGGAGAGAAGGAGGAGAAGGAGAAGGAGGAAGAGGAGGTGGAAAACGAGGAGGAGGAGGAGGGGTCTGCAGCCACCACCCACAAGCAGCCCGTCTTATGAGAGAAGTGTAAATGCCCAGGTAGGCTGAGGTGGCGGAGCGCCGCCCGCGCGCGAGGGTCGGGTACGGGGCGCGGGGGAGGTCAGCGGTGGTCGGGGGTGGGGGGGCCGCGGGCCAGGTGGTGGGGGAAGGCGGGGTGACGAGGGTCGTTGTAGCCGTCCAGCGGAACTCCCCCCTCCTGCAGCTGGCCGGGGAGATAGTCCTTCCAGCTGCGGAAGAGGTAGCGGGTGAACTTGCGCAGCTGACGGAACTTGCAGTAGGTGGCGCCCTCGGCCGACTCCACCTGCTGCGTCTGGATCAGGAGGCCGCGCTCGCGCAGCGTCTGCTCCAGCTTCTCGCGCACCGACGACTTCTTGGAGCGGCGCTTCCTCTTGGGCGAGTCCTCCATGGGCGGCGCCAGCATGGGCGGCTGCATGCCCCGCTCCAGCGTGCCCACGGGCGAGGTGGTGGCGCTGCCCAGCCCCGACAGGCTGCACGTGTCCTCCGTGTCGCTCTCCAGACGGATCTTCTTGACGTCCGTCTCGCACTTGGTGATGTTGTCGAGCAGCTTGCCCGAGAGCTTGACGTGCGCCGCCGCCGCCCGCGAGTCCCTGGCCACGCCGCGCTCGCCGCCGCTGAAGTAGCGCAGCGTCCCGCCCGCGTCCACACTCACCATCTTCTTCTCCTCCAGGATGGGGTTGGGGCCGCCCGTGAACTTGAACTTGCAGATGCTCACCTCCGTGCTCGGGTCGGCCGGCGGGATGAACAGCGCCGAGCGCTTCCTGCGCGCTCCCCCGCCGGCGCCGCGGGCGCTGCCGCCGCGCCCCCGCTCCTTCAGCAGGGTCTCCTGCGGCGAGAGTCTCTCCCGCGCGGCCTCCTCCAGGCGCTGCTGCAGCGACTCCTTGAGGAGCGCGTGTACGTGGCGGTGGTGGTGCCCCGGCGGCAGCGGCGACGCGGGCGGGACGGGCGACGGCGAGTGCGGCGACTGCGGGCACGCCATCAGGTGCGGCGAGAGGCGCATGCGCGGCGAGGCGAGCGGCGGCGGCGGCGACATGTGCGGGAAGGCGGGCGGCGACAGCGACGGCAGGTGCGAGGACTGCGAGCACAGCGACGGCGTGGACTGGCCCGAGCTGAGGCCGTCCTCCGTCTTGAGGCGGTAGTCGTGCAGCCAGGGCGCCGGCACGCCCAGCCGCCCGCCCGCCGCCCACGCCGCGCCGTCGGGGCAGCCCATCTCGCCGCCCCGCGAGGCCTCCTCCTCCTCGATGACGGAGGGCGGCTCCAGCTTGATGCGGGGAAGGTCGCCCTGGCCGCGCGCCTGCTCGGGCTCGCACTTGAAGGGGCGGTCGCGCACGCACAGGTTGAGCGGCTCGCTCTGGTCCTGCGCCTCGGCGGCCGCCAGCGCGGACTGCAGCAGGCTGTAGCTGCGGGAGCGCGCCAAGGACTCCTGCTCCATGGGGCTGTAGCGGCGGGCCGCCTCCTCCTCCTGCTGCTGCTGCTGCTGCTGCTCTAACTGCTGCTGCAAGTGGTGCAGAGAATAGTCCGGGTGTTGCATGGCCACTTGCTCATGCATGGCCCCGGCGACGCCCATGCCAGCGCCATGTATGCCGTAGTTCTTGGAGATGAGGTGCGTGATGTCGGCCTTCTTGGGCTTCCTGCCCCGCCGCGGCCGCGCGTCCAGCAGCATCTCGCCCATATACGGCAGCTGCTCTTCCTGGGCGGCCGCTCCGGGGCTGGGCGGGCTGCGCGCCCCTTGCTGGCTGGCCAGCATGATGGACGGCACGGACTGGGCGCGGGCCAAGGCCACATGCTGCAGCGCCGCCTGCTGCAGGTGCGGCCGCGTCAGCAGGTCTCTGAGCAGCGCCTCCGTGGCCCCCGCGCCCGCCTCGTGGATGGTGATCGGCCTGGAGTTGCGCTGCGCACGCCCGCGCCCGCGCCCGCCGCGCCCGGGCCGGGGCACGCCCCCTTGCAGCCCCCCCTCGGGCGCATCCCTCGCAGGGGCGGTCTCGGGGCCCAGAGCCTCGCGCGGGTGGCGGGCCGTGGTGGGCGTGCAGGCGGGCGAGGAGTTGGCGGAGGCGGCGGCCGCGGCGCGCTGCTCCTGGCGGAGGCTGGCTTCGTAGTGGTCCAGGTACTCCGGCGGGAGCGCCTGGTGGTGGAACTTCAGCTTGAACAGTCGCTGCCGCCGGCGGCCCCTGCGGAGGGAGAAGGCGTCAGTCTCGGGAAGCAAAGGTGAGGAGCAAAAGAATCAACAAGGAAAGGGCTAAACTATCGGCGAGGATGCAACAGCCGTGGTGAGGCTGATGTTGCATTTGCAACTGACAAATCGCTTATCTCATATTCGTACCTTCCGTTTTCTTATCATGATTACAGTTAGGTATCCCTCCCGTTTCCATCAGAATCATTATAATTATCACACGCTAACATATCATTGGCATTAACATTAACATCGTCAACATTAGTAGCAGTAATACTAATATTAGAAGTTGCTCTAGTTCATACTGATGCTGTGTTGGTATAAATGCTATAAACATAGCAGTGACAGTAGCTGTTCAGCTTCCTTCTCCTCTTCCTCCTCCTCCTCCTCCTACTCCTCCTCCTCCTCCTCATTACCATCATCATCATTATCATCCCCTCCCCTCTCCTCCTCCTCCTCCTCCTCCTCCTCCTCCTCCTCCTCCTCCTCCTCCTCCTCCTCCTCCTCCTCCTCCTCCTCCTCCTCCTCCTCTTCCTCCTTAATCATCTTCATCCCGATCAGCATTTCCGTTCACATTCAATCCCCCCTCCCCCTCCCCCCTTCCCCTACCCCCCACCCTTGTGTTCCTCATTAAATACCAACTTCATTAATCAATAAAAAAAAAGAAAAAGAAAAAAAAACGTATGAATGTCTTGCTAATTCGTGGCGTGTATTTCGCGTCCATGAAACTTTATATGTATGATACAAAAGCTCCCTTTTTGGAACGAGGCATAAGAACCGGTTATACAATAGCGGGGATGCAATCTTTGTGACAAGAGCACGCGAGATATATAAATGTTTACGTGTATGAGACGGACGAGGATGATAGTGAAGACAGATCACGTGTGTGTGTGTGTGTGTGTGTGTGTGTGTGTGTGTGTGTGTGTGTGTGTGTGTGTGTGTGTGTGAATGTTTTCTCTCTGTCTCTCTGTATTTGTGTCAGTTTGTTTGTTTGTCCTGTTTGCCCTGTCTGTTCGTCCTGTTTGTCTGTCTGTTTCTGTCTGTTTCTGTCTGTCTGTTTCTGTCTGTCTGTGTCTGTTTGTCTGTCTGTTTGTCCGTCTGTTTCTGTCTGTCTCTCTGTCCTGTCTGTCTGTCTGTCCTGTCTGTCTACTCCTTCCCCTCCCCCTCCCCCTTCCCCCCGTCCACGCGCACGCGCAAACTCAGGTCTCTTTATAAGAAAGGTAACGCGGGACAATTTTCTTCGTTCATGTCTGTAAACGAGGACAGACTTCCCTCCCTCCCCCTCCTTACTCCCCCTCCTCCCCTCCCCTCCCCTCCCCTATTACCCCTCCTCCCTTCTATTCCCCCCCTTCACCCTCCTACCCCACCCCCCACCCATCCCCATACCCCATCCCCCCCCCCACCATCCCAGAACGACCAGGGCACGACTTTCATCTCCCGGGGAACGAGTTTCGCCCAGGAGCCCGAAAGCCGAGGATTTTGAGTTGAACGGCTTACTTGGGCATCTGCAACCTGCGTCGGGGTTTTTCGGGAGGGCGCGACCTTACAGCAGGGGCAAGCGGCCGGAGGTTGGAGATGGTGATTATATATTTTTTGTGTGTGTGTGTGTGTGTGTTTTGTGTGTGTGTGTGTTTTTTGTTTTTTGTTTTGTTTTGTTTTGTTTTTCTTGGTAGGGGGGGAAGGTGGGAGGTTTTGTTTGTTTGTTTGTGCTTGTTTGTTTGTGTGTGTGTGTTTGTTTGTTGTTTCTGTTTCTTGTATCTGTTTCTCTCTCCCAGCCCTTTCCTTCTTACCCTCCCCTCCCCTCCCCTTCCCCTACCTCTCCCCTCCCTTCCCCTACCCCTCCCCTCCCTTCATGCCCTTTTCCTCCCTCCCCTCCCTCTCTCTCCCCTCCCTCCCTCCCTCTCCCCCCTCCCCCCTGCCCAAATCACATTCTCCATCCTTTCCTCTCTCTCCCTTTTTTGAACAAGCCCCATGAAGTCGAACAACTATATTTGCAACATAAATTGTATAACAACACACGGCCTCGCCCCTCCTCCTACCCCCTCCCCCCTCCCCTCCCTCCCTCCCCCCTGGTCCATCTCTTCCCCTCCCCCCGTTCCCTCCCCCCTGGTCCTTCTCTTCCCCTCCCCCCGTTCCCTCCCCCCTGGTCCTTCTCTTCCCCTCCCCCCTGGTCCTTCTCTTCCCCTTCCCCCATTCCCTCCCCCCTGGTCCTTCCCTCCCGTCATCCCTTCCCCTCTTCACCCCTCCTTCCCCTCGTCCCTCCCCCCCTAACCCTCCCTCCACCCCCTCTCCCCCCTCCCTCCCTCCCTTCCCCCTATGTGTCTCCGCCCCACACAGTGAAGGAGTTTCAGCGTCCCAAATACGGCGCAGCTGATAACAGTGAATATTCCTATTTAAGGCAACGTAATATCAGTGGCTTCGCCCGATAGGTCAGTCCAACCGCCTCTCCGCCGATAGGGTCGTCGGCTCCACCTTTTCACACGTGCGGATGAGCCTTACGTCCTGCCACGGGATGGGATTGCCTTACTCCTTATTTCGAGGAGGGGGGGGGAGGGGTGCCAAGGGGGTTGTTTATTATTAATCACTCTATATTGGAGGGCCATATAAGCAGGACGTCATAAGGCCAGGGATCCATTTGCACGACGTGTGTAAAGCTCGCGCAAAGTAA